ATTATGTTAAGCTAATTCTAGTTTTAGTTGTTATTCCGCACCAAGTTATTCTATATTTTGAACACTTCGAACTTACTTCTGGTTTCTGAATGGTACAATTTAGGAAAAACTAGTGTTGCAAAGAAATAGAAAACAGTAAATGAATTTTTTTGTTCATACTTGCTCATCATGCTAGATCATGAGTAATATGCTACAGTTCAAACTAGAGTGACCATAAATTCTGCTCAACTCGAAATTTACTAAAATTCAAGAAAAAGTGAAGTTTTAATGAAATAAAAAGTGGCAAAAATATTATTTTTCATACTTCCTATTTTAGAAATGCCAAGGAATATGATGCAGTTCAAACTAGAATGACCATAACATCTTCTGATAGTAGTATCTAGTCTTCCTTTCTCAATATCTAGTCATCTGCCACCAGTATCTAGTTTGTGCAATCAGCAGGTTGTCTTTTTCAAGTCTTCTGCAATTATCTACAAGCGGTGCCAAATCTTCTATTACTACGTCTGAAGACGCACGGCTAAACCCGAAACTTTCTAGTTCTAGTTTTAATTGTTATTCAGCTTTAGATTGTTGTATACTTTTATGGAACTAAAACTAGAACAAACACTAAAGCTAGAACTAAAAACATTCGAGAAACCTAAATATTTCTAGTTCTAGGTTTAATGTTAGTTCTAGTGATTATATTAAGCTAATTCTAGTTTTTGCTGTTATTCCGCACCAAGTTATTCTATATTTTGAACACTTCGAACTTATTTCTGGTTCCTGAATGCTAGAATTTAAGAAAAACTGGTGTTGCAATGAAATAGAAAACAGTAAATGAATTTTTTTGTTCATACTTGCTATTTTAGAGGTCATGAGGAACATGTTACAGTTCAAACTAATGTGACCATAATTTCTGCTCAACTCGAAATTTACTAGAATTCACGAAAAAGTGAAGTTTTAATGAAATAAAAAGTGGCAAAAATATTATTTTTTATACTTCCTATTTTAGAAATGCCAAGGAATATGATACAGTTCAAATTAGAGTGACCATAACATCTTGTGATAGTAGTATCTAGTCTTCCTTTCTCAATATCTAGTCATCTGCCACCAGTATCTAGTTTGTGCAATCAGCAGGTTGTCTTTTTCAAGTCTTCTGCAATTATCTACAAGCGGTGCCAAATCTTCTATTACTACGTCTGAAGACGCACGGCTAAACCCGAAACTTTCTAGTTCTAGTTTTAATTGTTATTCAGCGTTAGATTGTTGTATATTTTTATGGAACTAAAACTAGAACAAACACTAAACCTAGAACTAAAAACATTCGAGAAACCTAAATATTTCTAGTTCTAGGTTTAATGTTAGTTCTAGTGATTATGTTAAGCTAATTCTAGTTTTAGTTGTTATTCCGCACCAAGTTATTCTATATTTTGAACACTTCGAACTTATTTCTGGTTTCTGAATGCTAGAATTTAAGAAAAACTAGTGTTGCAAAGAAATAGAAAACAGTAAATGAATTTTTTTGTTCATACTTGCTATTTTAGAGGTCATGAGGAACATGTTACAGTTCAAACTAGAGTGACCATAAATTCTGCTCAACTCGAAATTTACTAAAATTCAAGAAAAAGTGAAGTTTTAATGAAATAAAAAGTGGCAAAAATATTATTTTTCATACTTCCTATTTTAGAAATGCCAAGGAATATGATGCAGTTCAAATTAGAGTGACCATAACATCTTCTGATAGTAGTATCTAGTCTTCCTTTCTTAATATCTAGTCCTCTGCCACCAGTATCTAGTTTGTGCAATCAGCAGGTTGTCTTTTTCAAGTCTTCTGCAATTATCTACAAGCGGTGCCAAATCTTCTATTACTACGTCTGAAGACGCACGGCTAACCCCAAAACTTTCTAGTTCTAGTTTTAATTGTTATTCAGCTTTAGATTGTTGTATACTTTTATGGAACTAAAACTAGAACAAACACTAAAGCTAGAACTAAAAACATTCGAGAAACCTAAATATTTCTAGTTCTAGGTTTAATGTTAGTTCTAGTGATTATGTTAAGCTAATTCTAGTTTTAGCTGTTATTCCGCACCAAGTTATTCTATATTTTGAACACTTCGAACTTATTTCTGGTTTCTGAATGCTAGAATTTAAGAAAAACTAGTGTTGCAAAGAAATAGAAAACAGTAAATGAATTTTTTTATACAACATGTTACAGTTCAAACTAGAGTGACCATAAATTCTGCTCAACTCGACATTTACTAAAATTCAAGAAAAAGTGAAGTTTTAATGAAACAAAAAGTGGCAAAAATATTATAATATTTATTATTATTATTTTTCATACTTCCTATTTTAGAAATGCCAAGGAATATGATGCAGTTCAAATTAGAGTGACCATAATATCTTCTGATAGTAGTATCTAGT